GACTCAATAGTTCCACCTTTAAAAAGTTTTTTTTTAAGTATCAGAGCAAGGGCCAGCAGATGGCATAGGGGTTATGTCACTGAACTCCTATACAGCTGACCACGGTTCGAGTGCCAGACCCGGTGGGTTGAAAATCTCTCCAGGCGCATGTATGATCCTAGAAAGAGAATGGAGGAGAACGGATTGTGGCATGGCCACCTCTGCTGGGGGCTGGTTTCTCACTTTCCCTCTCACTGTGTCTGTCTCTCTCCAGCAATTGCATGCACCCTAAGGCAAAAAGCCTCTACAAAAAGGATAATAATAATGATCAGAGACAGTGTGTGCTCACCGGAGAGAGGCAGAGAGACAGAGAGAAAGAAAGCACCCCCCATGGGGTGTGGTCATGCCACAATCCCTTCTCATTTCTCCCACGTGTACACGTGCCCAGTGTAGTTCTTGTCACTAGGGCCACAATTTGAATCTTGGTCTGCCAAGCAGGATCCAGATTCCCTTAAACGCTAGGCTATAGGACCAGCCCTTTCGTTTTATTGAATGCATGGTAGACTTCTTCCCACACAGTTCTGCACCATTTTGCCTTCTTTCTAATTGCATTCCATATTTTGGAGATCATTTCTTATCAAAAGTGGGAGAAACTAGGCCCTAGCCCCGAAGGACTGTCCCAGTGAGGCCTAAGGAAAAGGAGATGTCCTCTTCCTTCATGACATCAGGAGGATTGGCTGACTGTTAATTTAGTATCTTTCTCCCTATAGGGCTATTGCCTTTGCGAGGGCAGGATAATGCCTGTCAGTCACTGTGATGTCCCCAGCACCTTTGAAGGTGCCCAGAAGCCCGCAGGTGCTTGGTACATCCACGTGGAACAGATGCTGGTTATGAGTGAGGCTCCTTGATGACCCCTCCACTCACTCCTGCCGCCTGCCACGATCTCTCTCCATGTTGGTGTCCTGGGTTGTGAATGAGCCAAAGCAGGCACCTACCTCCATCTGCCCAAAACAAAGCCCCATCTTTACAGATTCCAAAGCTCTTATGCCATGGTTGAGTTCCTTCATGCGGCCTCCAGCCCTTTGGCTTCCTCTTTCACACTCTCTTTTAAAATCTTTTTATTTTAGATTTTTGCCATAGGGCGTGTAGGCTCACCAGAGAGAGACAGACAGACAAAGACAGAGAGAGGGAAAGCAAGAAATCGCTCCCTGGGGAGGATGGCCATGCCACAGTGCCTTCTCCTCCATTCTCCTCTTGTGATTTTGGGCATGCACGGGTATACATGCACCCATGCCTGGTATGATTTTCAAGCCATCTGATTTGGAACTCAAACCACAGTAGGCCATGTGGAAATCCAGCCGCCTTAACCACCATGCTACCTCCTGGCCCCCACACTCTCTTTCACTGGGCAGGCTTCTAGCCCACCCCAGCATCCTACATAAAGTTTCTCTCTTGCCCACCTCCCCACCAACCTCAGAGCCTTTGAAGACTGCTTCCTCTTCCTGAAAGCCTGGAATGTTCTTCCTTTTACTTTTTTATTTTGATTTCTTTTGAGAGAGAGAGATTTTTTGCTATAGGGTGTGTGTGCTCACCAGAGAAACAGAGAAAGAAAGAGAGAAATCACTCCCACCCTGGTGTTGCAGGGGGAGGCCGGATGGCCGCATCATAATCCCTTCTCCATTCTCCTCTCAGGATTTTGGGCATGCATGCACACATGCCCAGCGTGAGTTTCAAGCCTCCAGATCCAGGCCTTGAACTGTGGTCGGCTATGTGGGAGTCCAGTGACATAACTGCTATGCCATCTGCTGGTCTCTGGAATGTTCTCTCTTACCCTAGCTTCTCCCCACACCCTTCAATTCAAACACTTTCTCCAATCATCTCAACAGCAGCGTTCATTCTTTGGGTGTCTGTTTAGACGTCGTTCCTCAGAAAAGCCCTGATGCCTGGACTAGGCTAGGTCCCGCAAATAACTGCACAGCTTCTCTGAAGCCTTCATCACACACAGCATTTGTGTAGTGCCTGGCGGTCCTGCTGGACTGTCGGCAGGAATGGCGTGTGCACTGCACACCCAGTGTCCCCATGTCCATGGCGGGGCTCAGTGAACATTTAAGGAAGGAATGATGAGTGAGCATCATGTTGCCTCTTACCTAAAGTGTGCGGTGGTTCCTTGAAGCTTGCAGGGCAATTCAGCATTTATGGCCCATCATGACCCAGGCCTCATCAACCTCTCTGACCCCAGACCCTGGCTCCAGCCAGACCGAAATGCCTGTGCTTTCTCAAATGCATCACGTCATTTCATAATCCCTTGCCTCCTTATGGGCTATTCTGTCTGCATGGTCGGCTGCTCTTGCTGGCTCCTACTCTGGTCTCCAGATAGGCACTCCCCAGAGAGAGACAGAGAAAGAGAGAGAGAGTGCGTGAGAGAGGGAGAAGGAAAAAGCATCCCGCAATGGGGCATGCTCGCTTTGCAATCCCTTCTCCATTTCTCCATCCTGCCAGGATTTGGGGCATGCACATGCACACATTTGGTGTTGTTCAAGCATCCTGCACCAGGACTCAAACTGTTCTATAGTTCAGATGGGATCCAGCTCCCTTAACCACCAGGCCACCAGGCCACCAGACCACCAGGCTACAGCGAGTTTCTTGACTTGTCTGGCTCCTCAGTTTCTTCCTTTGCCAACCTCTCAAAGGCTGGTGTTCCCAGGTTTGGAGCTAGACCTTCCTCCAAGCAGACTCATAGGTGAGCTCCTCTTCCCCGAGATGTCAGTTCCCACCTGTATGCTGTGACTCCCCAGTCCAGCCTCTGTCCCAGCCTTCTCTCCTGACCCTTAACGCTCATGTGCCCAGGGACAGTCCCACCTGGGTACCCCCCAGGCTCACTGTACGTGCTACGGACATGCAGAACTGCAGGTAGCACGTTTCTCACTCCCAAACTAGCTCCGCCCGTCTGCTTATTCTGTAAATAGCACTGCCGTCTGCCTCGCCAGTCAGTGCGGCCAGGGTGCTGGGAGTCATCTCAGTGCATTCTCCTTCCTGTGTGGCTCTCCCTGCCCCCGCCCAGTTTCCAGGTTATTAACCCAGACCTTACAATTATCTCTGGAGTCTCTCCCATCCCCCTCACTCTTACCACATGGGATTGCTTCGCCCTCATTATTTCTCTGCTGGATAGCCGCAGTCACGTCTTAACTGGCCTCCCTGCAACCAACCTGATGACTCTCAAGGCATCCTCTACTTTGCAGGTAAAGAGTCAGAGTGATGGGGCCAGCAGGTGGCGGTGGTTAGGATGCCAGACTCCCACATGACTGACCACGATTCAAGTCCCGGACCTGGGACCTTGCTTTCTCACTCCCCCTCGCCCTCTCTTTGTCTCTCTCTGGTAAGCACATGTGTCCTATAGCAAAATTAAAAATAAATCATCCTCATAATAAATAAAATGAAATAGTTAAAAAAAAAATAAGAGTTGGAGTGATCATGCTGAAAGCAAACCCGACCACGCCAGTGCCTTGCTGAAAATCTTCCCGTGACTCCCCTAGACCTGTGGTTCTTTAGCACTGCACCCAATCCCTGTGGGTCTGGCCCCTGCTGCTCTGCTTAGCCTCGCTGACATTCCTCCAAGCAGAACCCCTGTGGGTCTGTGAACGTGCACTGTGTATTATCCCCCGCGTCCACGCCATGTCCTCTGCCCTGGTGGGAGCTCCAGCTCACACTTCGCCTCCCTCTCCTGGTCCTTGCTGGCTCTGCTCTGGCGTTAATGACCTCCTTAGGGGAGCCCTCCCTCACCGCCACCTCCCGTAGCTGCTGCTCTGCTGTGCTCCTACAGAGACCGTCACGTTGTTTATCATTAGTGTGTGTGTCTGCCTGCTTTGCCAGGCAGCGAGGTCCCCTGGGACAGGAAATGAAGGGTATTCATGTCTGTTTCCCTGCTCTTGGCTCAGAGACCGATGGAGAGTACATGGTCAACAGAGGATGGGTGGAAGCATCAGCAGTGGAGACATCTCTACGAAACAGCCATGTCCCTCCCTGACAAGGCTGGAGGTCACCGTCCCAGAGTGCAGCAAGGTTCAGGGACATCCCCATCTCCCTTAGCCATCAACTGTCATCATTCTCAGAGATGCTGAGGAACCTTCTTGCCCCCACTCACCACCTCCTTCTGGACAGAGAAAATACTACCTACTCCCCAAACCTCCATGTCTGCCTGGAACTCCAGATCACCCCCAGCCTGTCTCCCCCTTGAATGCCAGAGTCACGGATGACACTCCCGACTTGACGCTTCTTCGGTGCCCTGACCTAATATGACCAGCCTTGTATTCTTAGTTTTTCCATCAAACCTGTAGCCTATCATCTCAAAGAATGGCAGTGCCAACCCAGCCACAGTGGGGCACACTGGTGAGGTGTCGCTGCTCCACAGTCTGAGGCCACATGGGAGGCCTGGGTCCAATTCCCGACCCAGCTTTTAAAAAAAAATGCCAGATGCAGTTATAAAATCACAGTGCCAGCTATTCGGGAGGCCGGGGCAGGTGGACAGAGACAGGCAAGACCTTGTCATAAAAATAAAACAAAATAGGGGCTGGCAGGTGGCATGGTGGTTAAGGGCGCTGGACTCCCACATGGCCGACCACGGTTCAAATCCTGGATCTGGTGGTTTGTTTTCTCACTTTCCCTGTCTCTCTCTCTCTCTTATTCTGTCCCTGTTTGGTCAAATTAAGATAAGTAAGTAAATAAAGTTAAATAAAATAATTCTAAAAAGTACATTTAAACAAAACAGAAGGAAAAAAGCAGTGCTCTCCAACGAGTTGCTTAGGCCAAAACCCTTGAAGCCATCTTTGTCTCTTTTCTCATACTCCATATCTGACCCGTGGGCACACCTTGTTGGCTCCACGGCTGAGGTATGTCCAGAGTCTAACCACGCTGCTCACCACCTTGGCTCCCACCCTAGTCGAGTTCCACCACTCTCAGCCTGATCGTAACGCTCCGAGTGGAACTCCTGCTCCCCACAAACCCTCCGCATGCAGCGGCCATGCCGACCAGCTCAGCCTCCCTGCCCCGAGACCCCTAAAGGCTTCGCATTCTATCCAAGGCCAGACCCTTTTGCCCTTTTAATGGCTCGAAGACCTTAGGTGATCTGTGCCTGTTACTCTCTGACTTCACACCCTACTGCTCACCCTGACCTCAGCCTGCTGGCTTCCTTGCTGTTCCTTAAACATGCGAGTCGTTTGTTTGCTGGTCCCTCCTAGACATCCCCGTATTTCATTTCCTTACAACTTGGTAGGTCTCTGCTCAAATGCTACCTGATCAGAGAGGTCCTCTCTGACCTCCCTGTGAAAGAAGCACTCCCCTGGGGCCAGCAGGTGGCATGGCGGTTAAGGCGCTGGATTCCACATGGTTGACCACAGTTTGAGTTCTGGACCTGGTGGCTTGAAAATCACACTGGTTGCCACTGAAATCCCAAGAGGAGAATGGAGGAAAAGGGTTGCAGTGTGGCCATCCCCCAGGGAGGTGATTTCTCTTTCTCTCTGCGTCTCTCTGGAGAGTGCACGTACCTATGGCAACAACCTACCAAAGAGAAGAACAACTTCCCACTCCCACTCGCTGGCCCCTTACCCTTCTTTGATCTTCTTTGCACTGTACGCATTTGCTACAGGGCATCAACTGTTTATTTAGCGCATGCCTCTTCCACTCCTTGACATGGAGAAGGCTCTGCCCTCCCAGCATCATGTCCCCAGTGCCTGGCAGGCAGCTTGGTTTCTGGTCACTCACCAGCCGGGAATTGTAGATCGGGGATTTGATGGGCGTGGCCACTGGGCAGTTGATCCGCTTCTCCTTCTGGCGTCGGTTGCAGAACCAGACCCTCACCACCTCCTTCTCCATGGACAGCTGCTCTGCAATCATGGAGATCTCCTCTGAGCTGGGCTTGGGGTTCTATGGACCGAAGGCACAGTGAGGTCAAGAACCGGGGGTGGGGGAGGGGCAGATGTAAAGAAACAGGACAGAACGCTATATGGATCAAAGCTGTAGAGTCAGACCTGCGTGCAGTGCCTGACCACTCACTTGTGGAAAGCTTGTTACCCTCTTTAAGCTTCAGTCTTCTTATGTGTGAAATGAGAATAATCATGCCTACCCTGTGGGATTATTTTTTAATGATTATTTATTTATTTTTAAGACATATTTTTGCTATAGGGTGTGTATGCTTGCCAGAGAGACAGAAAGTGAGAAATCACCCCCCAGGGGGATGGCCACGCCACAATCCTTTCTCCATCAATCCTTTCTCTTCCAAATCTCCTCTCGGGATTTTGGACACATATGTGCACATGCTCGGCATGAGTTTTAAGCCACTGGGTCTGGGACTCGAACTGCTGTTGGCCATGTGGGAGTTCAGAGACATAACTATGACATCACCTGCGGGTCCCCTGGGATTCCCGTGAGGATGAAATCTACCAGGCACAAGGTCTTACACACAGTAAAGGCTGTAAAGGTGGAATCTCTCCATCCCCCTCCTTCCAGAGCAGTTCTGAAGATAGGAGTCAGGCACGGGTGGGTGCAGAGTCCCCAGAACCCATACTCCCCTCTGTGTTCTTTCCTCCTAGTTCACAGTCTTCTCTTTCGTCATTTCTTTCCTCCTACCTCAAAATAGGAAATGAGAAAGCTGAAAACCCAGGGACCCACCTGGCGTACAGGACAGATATGCAAAATGGAAGGTTGCCAATTCCTTGTCCTCTGTCTGGTCTCAGCCCATCTTCTCCCACTCTTATCCCCTCCCTTAACCTTGCTGCTCTGAGAAAGCTCATAAGAAGGAAAAGCCAGCTCTTGCCATCCTGCCAGCAGGCCACGGCTGTCATCTGAGCCAGAAGCCAGAGCCAGATGCACCAGAGATCTGCTGGAGTGGCAGCGGGGCCTGGGGGCTGCATGATGGGACTGGGTCGTGGTACTTCTAGGACCCATGGTCCCGACGGAGGCTCTGCAGGCACCAGCAAGAAGGGAACCAGACAGATGAAGGGAACCAGACTAGAAGCTGTTTAGACCACATCTTTTCTTCCTCTTTTCTCCCCCCGGTTCCCATGAACCGGTTCTCATAGCGTCTACCCTCTGGCTCAAGAATATGCTTTTGCTACAAGTTCAAAAAATGCATGTGTACAACATGATGACTAGTATTCTGAGATGCATGGAAAACTGGAGTAGAAGTGCATTCAGGTGGCATTTGGTGGTGAACTTTTTAAAACGTGTATGTATTTGTTCCATGAATAAGAGAGAGAGAAGGAAGAGAAAGAGAGACAGAAAGAGATAGTGCCCCCCACAGATGCCATGCCACAGTCCACCCCTAGCCTCAGCCGGGCCTGGATCATGCCACAGTCCACCCCTAGCCGCAGCCGGGCCTGGATCACAGCACAGGCGCAGCACCAGCTCTGACGGAGGGCTCCAGACCCAAATCAGAGCCTCCCCACGTGGGACTGCGCCCCCTTCTGGCCCGCTGGTGGAGAATTTTTTTTCTATTTCCTTATATTTTCTAAATTGTTTATAATGAGATGTATTAGAATTTTGGGGGGAAAAAAACTTACTTAGAGAAAACAGAGAATTTAAATACAGTGCTCTGGGGCCGGGAGATGGAGAATGGTTGAGGCGCTGGACTCCCACATGGCTGACCGTGGTTCAAGTCCCAGACCTAGTGGCTTGCTTTCTCACTTTCCCTCTTTCTCTCTCTCCATCTCTCTCTAGTGGGCACACATATCATATACCAAACTTAAAAATAATTATAATAATAAATAGAATAATTTTTTAAAAATACAACGTTCAGGCTTTACTCCATTTACCTTAACTAGAAACAGAACTAGAAGCTATTCTGAAATCCTATATCCCATTCTTTAATTCTCTCAGTGAAAGAGACAACTGGCCCCCCAAAAATGTCAGGACAGAGAAGAACCTGCTGTGGGAAGAAGTTTCTGGAGCCCAAAGTGAAGGGCAGCCTTTCACTTGGGTGCTTTGGGACTTTTCCCAGGCAGGTTAAGGTACAGAGGGGCAGGTGTCCAGGGGCCATGTGGGGCCTGCCCCCCCCACCACCGAGGCTGGTCAGCCCACCCACCTGCCCGAGGGAACCACTCACATCTTGAAATCTCTTCTCCAGAGTCAGGCGGATGTTGGTCTCAATGCTGGTCCGCTTCTTCCTCTTCCTCCCAAATACCTCGCTGAGGGTGGGGTAAGAGTTGGCCGTGCTCGCTGAGGGGTCTGATGGAGAAGACTCTGCAGGGAGGCAAAGGGGCACAGGGAGCTCAGAACAGGGACAAGTGGCTGGGGCAGACTCCCTCGAATGGACTTAGAGTCCAACAGGCCTTCCCAGCAGCCTCTGCAGTGGCATTTTCAGGTAGGTCTGGGGCAGCGAGCGGAGTGGGGACAAGTCTCCATGACCACGGGCCTAAAACCATATGGTCCAAAGAATTTCCTTATGCTTTCATCTCTACCTGCCTGTCTCTTGTATCTTATTTCTCACTTAGTTCCAATCTCAGGATAAGGAAGAGGTGTCAGGTCTGACCCAAAAGCCCTGACATAGACAAGCCCCAGCCCTTTGCCTTCAGAGCCCCCCCCCCCCAGGGCTCCTCCCACCCTCATTCCCCCAGGCCCACCTGCATCGTTCAGCCACTTCTCCAGCAGCGGCTTGAGCTTGCACATGTTCTTGAAGCTCAGATTGAGGGCCTCGAATCTGGATATGGTGGTCTGGCTGAAGTCATTGCCGTACAACTTCCCCATCGCCAGCCCCACGTCTCCCTGCGCGTGGAAACCGAGAGGGAGCAACATGAGGCACGGGCTCCTCCTCTTCTTCGTCCATGGCCCTGCCATCCCAGCCCCCTGTGCACCCAGCCAGAGTCTTCCGTCCCCTTCCCATCGTCCTGGCTCCTTTCTGGGTCTTTCCCTCTAAGATGGAGAGCTGGTTTACTTCTCTCTTTTGCCCCTAAGTGACTTAGACTTGTTTTAGCCTTGCTCTCCCCGCCACCAGCCATGTCTTCAGTTTCACTGTGGAGGGCAGCTATGTTCCATTCTCAGCAAACCCCAAGACACCCTGAGCTCACCCCAAGCACGTCAACCTCAGGTGGCTCCAGAAACCTTCACTTGGGAGCCCAGTCACCACTCGCTCAACTCCATCTCTTCCCCTGGTTCTGACCTGTGTGAAGCCCAGCTTAATACGCCTCTGCTTGAAGGTCTTGGCGAACTTCTCCAGTTCCTCCAGGTCGCTGGGCTCATCGGCTCCTCCAGAGCTGGGGAGATGCTTGGGCACTGGGAGATGCTGAGGTGTTTCCAGGTGGGGCTCTAATGAGGACCCTGGCAGCCCGGGGCGCCCAACTGCCTGGTAGGAAACACACACCAAGCAGATCCACAAAGATTCAACAGATTCAATGGCATTTTCTGGTATTTTTTCAATTGACCCAGATCATCACTTTCTTTTTTTTTTTTTTTTTTTAAAGAGAGATTTTTTGCTATAGAGGATGTATGCTCACTGGAGAGAGAGAGACAGAAAGTGAGACATCACTCCCCCAGGGGGATGGCCATGCTGGAATTCCTTCTCTTCCATTCTCCTCTGAGGATTTTGGGCAGGCATGCACACATGCCCAGTGTGACTTTCAAGCTGCCAAGGCTGGGATCTGAATTGCAGTTGGCCATGTGGGAGTCCAGCAACATAACCATTATGCCACCTGCTGGACCTGGCCCAGAACATCTTAAAGGATGACAGATCCCTGGGTACATGTGGGTCTTATGTTTTCAGTGGGTGGAAGTAGAGGCTAGAGATTTCATGAAGGCAGAGCAGAGAACAGGGCTATCTGGGGGAGAAACAGCAGGCGTGCAGGGCAGGGAGGCGGCTTTCTGTGGTTTTGTCCATGACTCACTGTCTGACTCCGAGCAGGTAACTTCCTCCTTTCAGTTTCCACCGTAAAAGGAACTCGCAGGGTTGTTTACAAAGGCTCCAAAAACCAACTCTCAGAAGGGACGAGCAAAGGGTTGTTTGCCTAACCTGTGCTTTTCTACAAAGCAGGAAGCTGAGGGGTCCAAAAGGCTTTACTTTTTCTAAATTATTTATTTTATTTTACTTATTCATTCATCTTTTCTTCATTTGACCAGAGCGAGACACAAAGAGAGAGAAAATGAGAAAGCAAGCTACCAGGTCTGGGACTCGAACCATGGTCGGCCATATGGAAGTGTCCAGCGACTTAGCAACCACACCACCTGCTGGTCCCCAAAAGGCTTTAACTGAAGCGAAGAGAGGACATTCCAGTGCTCACTGCATTCACAGAACTTCCATAAAACTTGATTCTTTTTAAAAAATGTTTATTATAGGGCATGTATTTTGTATTTCTCAACCTACAGGGTCCAGAACTCAAACTGTGCAGTCATCCAAGTGGGACCCAGTCATGGGTCCATAGACATCATGCCATGGGTAGGCCCAAAACTTCGGACACTTGTAGGAACTACTTTACTTGGTAAACCACATTTTCTTTCAAGAGAGTGTTTTCTTTTGTTCTTCCTTTCTTTCTTTTTTTTTCTTTTTTTCTTTTTTTCCCATAGGGCATATGTGCTCACCAGAGACAGAGAGAGACAACAGAAGGAAAGTGAGAAATCATCCTCCCTGCCCACACACACCCAGGGGAATGGCCACACCATAGTTCCTTCTCCTTTATTCTCCTCTTCGGGTCCTGGGCATGCATACACATGCACCCAGTATGATTTCCAGGCCACCAGGGCTGGGACCCGAACTGCACCGAGCCATGTGGGAGTCCAGCACCTTAACCACCATGCCACCTCTGGCCCCTTGTTTTGCTCTTTTTTTTTTTTTTGGAGAGGTTCTTTTGCCATAGGGCGTGTGCGTTCGCCAGACAGAGAGAGAGAGAGACAGAAAGCGAGAAATCACCCCCCAGGGGGGATGGCCACTCTGCAATCCCCTTTCCTCCGTTCTCCTCTCGGGATCCTGGGCATGCACGCATATGCGCCCGGTGTGAGTTTTAAGCCGCCAGGTCCGGGACGTGAACCGCGGTCGACTACATGGGAGTCCAGTGACACAACCATTATGCCAGCTGCTGGTCCTGCCCCTTGTTTTGCTTTTGATCAACAGTATTTTAATCAGCACCATCTAAATACACCTTGATTTCATTTGTGATTGTCCGAGATATTCTTTCTTTGGTTCGTTTTCATAGGAAGAGGAACCCTTAAATCTACAGCCATGTCGTACCCTTTTGGGGTCAGCATTGAATCCAGTCTTGAAGACATTGGTTGTTCTACAGACATGGCAAGGAACCCATTTAGATGGTATTCTTATGATGAAGAAAGTAAAAGGGTCAGAGAGAAGTTTGGACTCTTCCCCAGTGAAGGGTCTTTTAGAACAGAAACCACCATGCTTTGAAACTACCATGCTTTGAGACCACCATGCACCTAATCCTGTTCTCCAGGGGTGACGACCAGACCCTCAGGACCAAATCTCAGTCTCTTTAAAGTCTTCCTTTGCATTAATTTAATTGTTTAATTTGAGAAATGCCCACTGAGTTGTCTGCTAGGCTCTTCCCCTCCCCTCTTCACATCAAATCAGCTGCCAAATTGCATTGATTCAACTTCCCAAAACGTCTCATTCATCCCCTCCTCTCTGTTTTTATTGCCACAAATCCCCTTTCATACCTCCCTAGGGTGATCTTGAGGATCTTCTGAATGGCCTCCCTGCTACCAGTCTATCCATGATTGACTATTATGGGAGATGAGAACTGATCTTGAATACTCTCTAGGATCTCTTCCAGTTCCAGGTCTATGATGATGAGATTCTGGAGAGAGCACCAGGAGGAGGAGGAAGAGTGCCTCCCGGCGCTGACATTCCCATTTATTTTAGTGCCATCCCAGCTCCAGGAGTCCTTGGTGGAGGCTCCCATTCTGGAAAGCCAGGGCCCTTCTTAAACCCTGGGGATCTTAGCATTGAGAAGGGGCACAGCCACCTCGGCGGTCATTCCCAGCCACTCTACACATCCACCCATGTGGAGCCATCTCCCGCAGCTGGGCAGGTCCTTGACTGCATGCTGGGTGCAGAGGACATGGATAAGGCAGCTGAGACACAGTGCATGAAACAGATGCCAGGCACCCGCCATGAAACTGCTTTGGTCAGAGGAAGAGACGCCTTATCTCTAGTTGACAAAAAGATACTGTGTGGACCCATGGCGGCTCTGCAAATAGCCCTTCTCCCAGGTCTTTCTCTGCCCGACCCATGCACGTGCCCACTGGTATGGCAGGCAGTCTGGAACAGTGGCCCAGAGGGTGGGGACACCGACTTTGCAGCCACAATATTCTCATCTCCCACCTGGGGCTTGAGAGTGCCTCTGCAGAGCTGGCGGGCTCCTGGGTACACCTGGAAAGGTAACTGACCCCAGGTTCTCAGGAGGGATGCCAAGGCCTCTTTGAGCTGGGGAGGAGCACTGCAACATGGGGCAGGCTAGCCTGGGAGTTGGGGTTTCTGGGTTCGAATTCTGGCTCCCCCAGTGACATTGAATAAATGGTCTCCCTCAGCTGTCCCTTGGATTTCTCCAAGTCCCGGAAGGGGAAGTCCTCTCCTGTCCCCTCTTCCCAGAGGGGTAAGTGCCCTGTTAAAGGAGTGGGGAAGCCCAATGAGCCGAGCCCCGTAGGGGAACTGAGACATTCCTAGAGGAAACAGGAAGAAGGCGACTGTTTACCTGGGACGCGAGGCCGGGCCCAGTGTGTGGGAGGAGCAGGCTGCTTTGTTGCTGTGGAAAGGGGAGAAGATTTGGCTGCAGACCTGGGTGAAAGGGGAGAGGCAAAGGAACAAATGCTTAAAATCCAGGCCATCTGGAAGACACACTCTACAACTTAGAGACCCACGATCACTGTCCTCACACCTGCGACTCAGCCAGGTCCCTTGGACCCACCTTGAGCCTTGCGGAGAGGCCTCCATGGGCACTGCTGGGCTTTGCCACAGGCAGGTGGAGGCGAGTCAGACACAGGGATAGACAGAGACGTAAACAGCAGTCCCCAAACCAGTCCTTCTGCCCGCCCGCCTGCCTGCCCGCCTGCCCGCAGAGGTGCAAAGGCTAAGGAGGGTCAAGACAATCTACTCTGGCATCTGATTACCTGGGCTGAAAAAACTCAGGAGGGGAGGGGATGCGGCTGGCTGCCAAGAGTTCATGCTGGAGATGAGGATTTCAGCTTTTCCTGCAGGCAAAGTAGCTGGGATGGCCACAGAGGCCTGGCCAGATCTGCATGGATGTCAAGCCAACCAATGGGGCCATACAGCTCCAAAGGGCAACAAGCCATTGACCAGAGGTTCAGGCTGACCTGCACATTTTCTCCTTGGGAGGAAGAGCCAAGAGAGAAGAAAAGTCCAGGGGCTAGGCTTCTGGAAACCCCTGGGTGGTGTGGACTACACCTGTGGGTCGGGAGCTCCTGGGAGCTCCCTTCTCCTTCCCTCTCCAGGAAAACCGTCCATGAAAGGGCCTGCCTTATTGGTGACCTTGACAAGTGGCCTTCTTGAGAGGCACACAGCCAGGACCTCTCATCTCACCACAGGACTGGGGCCATTAAGCCACCAAAGCAGAAAATGGGGCAGGTCACCCTACTCATTCAGCACAGAGGAGCACTTGGGGGTCCCTGTTGTCCCCAGGGTGTTCTGGCTCACTGATTACAGCTTCGGCCGGGGTTGACCTACGTGTGCCTCAGTTCCAAATCGTCAGGGTTTAATTGTTGCTTATTAAAATAAATAGGCCAGACCAGCAGTTGGCGTAATGGCTATGTATTACTAGGCTCCCACGTAGTCGACTGCGGTTTGAGTCCCGGTAACTTAAACGCACGCTGGGCGCGGGTGCATGCGTGCCCAAGATCCCGAGAGGAGAATGGAGGAGAAGGGATTGCAGTGTGGCCATCCCTCTTGGGGGTGTTTTCTTGCTTTCTGTCTCTGTCTCTCTCTGTCTTTCTGGTGAGCGCATGCGCCCTATAGCAAAAATCTTTCCAATAAATAAATAAATAGGCAAGAAAGCTCTCCTAAGGGACCCTAGACTGGGAGCCTGAAGGAGGTTTAAGTACCAACGGCAATTATAGCATTTCTGTTTCCTGTGGAGGCTACAAAGCCCTTTCACACGTATCATTTCGAATAACCTTCAGGTAGCCTTATAAGGTTACTAGCCCAGTCTCATTGTTATGGAGAATTTAATGGAAGCTCAGAGAGGCACTTTCTCAAGGATATACGGCTAGTAAGTGATTTTTTAAGCCAATTTTAAAAAAATTGTTGATTGCCAAAGGACACATGCACTCTCCAGAGAGGGAGAGACAGAGAGGCAGACAAAGAGGGAGAGACACACTTGGGTGTGGTCAAACCACAATTCTTTCTCATCCATTTCTTCATCCTATCAGGATTTGGGGCACAAACACACACATCCAAGTGTGTTTTTCCTATTTCCGGGGCTGGGATCTGAACCATGGTCAACCATGTGGAATCCAGTTGCCTTAACCACTAGACTATGAGGTGAGCCCAAGCTAATGAGTTTTTCTGACTCCATTTTTTTTTTTTTTTTTTTAGGTTTTTGCCATAGGGTATGTCTGTTACCTGGAGAGAGACAGTGAGAGGCAAAGTGAGAAATTGACCCCCAGGCAGGATGGGCACACCGCAATCCTTTTTCCTTCATTTTCCTGGGATTTTGGGCATGCACACGCACCTGACATGATTTTCAAGTTGCTGGGTATGGGACTTGAACCACGGTTGGCCATGTGGGAGTCCAGATCCTTAACCACTTGCTGGTCCCCTGACTTATATATATTTTTTCTCCCTGTAGTACACACTGACCTCATTGGTTACGGGCCAGTGTCATTACCATGTCACTCTCCAGCCTTCCAAATACAAATGGACTTAACTGTGACTTTCCCTTTCCTATTCCATGGATACGACGTATATTGCTTAGCCAAAATAAACACTCGCAAGTTCAACTGTGTCCTCATTCATCATCATAATATTCGGAGATGCCTTGGACGCTAGAGACTGTCAGGGACTGTCAGGGACTTCATTTGGGCAGGTGCTCGTGATGGAAGACAGAGTTACATTTTGTTTGGTCTTGGGATTTCCAAAGCCTCTGCTTGGTATTGGTGCCATAGACAAGAGCTTATACTCCCTTCACCCCTTCGGCCCTAGTTGGTGCCCATGGGAGTAGGAAAAACAGTAGAGCAGGGTGGCCAAAAGGACAGATCTGTCAGACTGTTCTGGAATGTTCTGGTAGTCACCAGAGGCAAGATACGACTACCTGCAGCACAAGGCTGTTTTGAGTACTGGCTCAGGAAAATCACTAGCAGAGCTTCTGGCATGTGGTGCTCAAGTAATGTCATTAATACTTTAATCTGTTTGTTCTTGGCCCGGCAGAGTTCTCCGCCAGTAACTTCCTGCCAAAGAAAACCTGACAGCCCTCCCTGCAGCCTGAGGGTGGCACTGTTGCTCCACCCAAGCAGAAGCACAGCCAGCCTTCCTGGAGGAAGGAGTCCGAATGTGCGTCCAGGAAAGATGGCCAAGGAATCGGACTGGCCTGCGTTTCCAGGGGCCCTCTCTTTCCTCACGCCAGCCCCGACCCACTGCCCTGCAGCACTCCTGCACCAGAAGCCTCAACTCTCCCTGAAACTGAGGCGGTGGGCCAAGCCCAGCAGGATGCTGGCAGGGGAAGCAGAGCAGACAGCTCGGAAGGTTTCCTCCGTCCCGCGGAGGACGAGATGGCCTTAGTACAGGAAGCAAAGCTTCACCATGCCCACCATGCCCAGGCCTGCAGCGGCGGCGCTGCTCTGGCCTTGGCTGACACGGAACTCCCAGGGGCTCTTACCTTGCTGCCCCGGCTGGCTCTGGGATAGCAGGAACTGGGATACAGACTGTAAGTGACCACCAGGCACCAGAACGAGCTGCTGGAGAGGATGGAGGGAAGCCATGTCCTACACATGGGGAGACAGACGCGCATCACGGAGCGTACTAGCTGGGGACACCGGCTCTTCCGTGCCGTGCCTGCAGACCTGGTGCACGTGTGGGCAGTGCCCCGGCCTCGTGCCGCTGTGTGTCCCCAGTGTCTGACTGCAGCAGGTGCTCCGTGAATACTGGTGTCGCTGGTGGACAACACCTGCACTCGGCCCATAGTCCTTGCCGCGCACTCTTGCTTAACCCTTGTCTGATGTCTTAATCTTGTGTCAGTCTTCCCTGCAACTAAACGGGAAATGCCCACCTCTGAAGGCTTATCCTAGAATTGACTTGCAACCCCAACTGTCCACTTAAAAAAAAAAATCACCACTCGATGATGCCGAAAATTGCGCCTGGGCCAGTTCCTGGGCCTGAGTCTTTCCTGGAGGGTAAGGGGGTAGGAGTTGGGGGATGGGACGAACCACTAGTACTTAATAAAACCAGCTGGGTGAAACGATGTCCATTTCCCACGGCCCCGGACACGGCAACTCCAATCCCTGTACTTGGAGGGTGAAGACAACCTCCATTATCCAGACCTCGGGGCTCTGTGCCTTCTCTGTGCACAGAAAGGACTTGGCAAACCTTGCTGAGTTATTCTCTCCTTAAGTATTTCCAGAGAAAGGGTGGCTCTTCCTTGCCCGGAAGAGCCATGCTGAGAACAGGGCTGGTCACACGAACGCCTTCTCAGACCTTAGCCGTTCCTGTCTCGCGAGGCCTCTCTCCCCACCCAGTGCTCCGTTCTAGCCTGGCCATGGCATAAAGCCCCCAGAGAGGCAGAGCGAGCCCATCTGGGACAATGGTGACAGTAGTTATCCTCAGAGGGCTCCCCAGATGTGGCTGGCAGCTGCTAGGTCCTTCACGTTGGCAGGCAGGCTCGTTTTGTCGCAGAGAGGTGGAGCCCTCCCCCTTCTCGCCCCCAGCTAGGCTCCCCCTTTAAGAGGATAGTTTAGGAGCCCCGCCCCTACCACAGGCCTTTGGACCTCTCCTGCACATTGTCTTAGCCTCCTAGATCAATCTGGATTCACAGAGCGCCCAGCACAGAGGTCTGGCGTTTGCAGAGGAATCGAATTAAGCTCACTGGTCCAGTGAGGACAGCGGGGGGGTCCCTGACAGAGTGAGTATTTACCCCAGACATTTGGTTTCCAGGCATCATGGTGGGTCCTTGGCTCAGGTGGCATGGCCGATGGGAGAGGGTCTGCTGTAGGGAGTCACTGAGGTCTTCTGTTTTAATCTGCAAGCGGAGGAGGAGGAGTGTCAGTTCTGGGTCTGACAGATGGAAACATCAGGAAGATCCATGCAGTGGATGAGTGACAAGCCTAGGGAGGAAAGAGCGAGCCCAAGGTCTGCTGGGCTGCAGCGGGATTTCCTGCCCATGCGAGCCCTCTGGCAGGGCGGCTGGTCCGAGGCGTATGAGTGGGACCGGGAGAAGCAGTCTGCATGACGGGACTGAGACTGTTCACTGTGATGGCAGCTCCCAGATGCCATTCTAGGGACTGTGCCAGGACCTGCTGCCTCTCATGCTCTCTCTCAATGAAATAAAAAACTAACATAGTGACTTAAAAAATGAAAGTTAGGGGGACCGGCAGGTGGCCTGGTGGTTAAGGGCGCTGGACTCCCACATGGCCAACCACGGTTCAAGTCCTGGACCTGGCGGCTTGCTTTCTCACTTCTCTCCCTATTCCTCTCTGGTCAAAATTTAGAATAAATAAATAAATAAAGTAAATAAAAAGGTAATTCTTTAAAATATTATGCATATAATAATTTGGAATTAAAAGGATATAAATACAACATTTGCTTTCTTTAGTTTTTTTCAATAAAATTAAATTTGTCGGCTTCTTAAAAAAAAAAAGAAAGTTAATGGGCCTCGCTGTGGTGGCACAGGCAGTCAGGTGCCATGAAGGATGCTGGAAAGGCTCCAGGTTCGGATCCTGAGTCACCCTGAATATGCAGGCATGTCCTGGGAGCTGGGGGTCGGAGGTAGGGGAGGATTGTGCCATGATGAGACCCTGTCTCTCCATATATTTATTTATTGTTTTAGAGAGTTTTGCCTTAGGTCATGTGTGCTCACCGGAGAGAGAGACACAGGGAGAGGGAAAGTGAGAAATCCCCTCCCAAGGAAGATGGCCACACTGTAATCCTTTCTCTTCCATTCTCCACCTAGGATCCTGGGCACACCTGCACACACATCTGGCATGATTTTCAAGCCACCAGGTC